TGGCCTTTTTATTTCTCCTTTGTACATTATTGTATAATGTTCTGAGGCATGATGTGTGGAAGCTCAATCTGTTGTAAGCACCTACACAAGTGATAGAACATGTAAAGGTTTTGTGGGAAAATTGTGTATCAAATTATATGACCAATAATATATTTTTTTCGGCAGGCTAATTAATTCAAGCTTAAGACACAGAAGACATGCTGTGCATATAAAAGGTCAAAATCAGAAAGAATTCAGAAAGATTCTTGTATGAAATCTTCTGTCAGCTAATATATACAGTTAGGTACAGATAGCTAGATGGACACTTGGTCTCATTCAGAGCTGTATAGGCCCTGTAAAGCAAGGACTTGAGGTATAGAATTATTATTTACTTATAAGTGGACTAAAATCTATATTTTTAATGATTTTTAGGTGAAGGTGATGGTGAAAATTTGCCCATCACAAGAAGCACACAATACATCGGAATCTATGTCGTTTCTGAAGGTAGATTCACGAAAAAAGCAGATCACACTTTATGATCCATCTACAAGTGGCTGTAATGCAAGTCACCGAAGAGGAGCTGTGGCTGTCCCAAAGATGTTTGCTTTCGATGCAGTGTTCCCCCAGGATGCTTCCCAGGTACCAAAGCTGAGCATATAAAGCTGATAATTTGAATTGCTGCCATGGCATTTAATTCTGGTGATAGAGTTCTTTTACAGTATTTTTCCCTTTGAATTAGTTGGTTTAATTACTGGGAAGGCATGCTAATTAATAGTCAGTTTGCAAGTCCTCACGCTGTTTTAATTTAGCCCAGATGTGAAATTAAGAAGCAATATCTGTAGAGGTAATTCTGTTCAGTGATTATATTCCTACTATCTTTCTTGTGTGGTTTAAAGCAACATATACATACAACTTGTGACTTCCATAGTATCCCATTTTAGTGTTAGTTGTAGCATAGTATTTATAAGTTTGGGCTTATCTGTATCATTATGAGGGAGCATCAAATATTTTGTTATTGTGGAAGGATGGAATAAAATGAATAGTGTAGGTTTTTTTGAAGTATGTTGACTTCAGTTTCCATAACCCCTAGCCTAGGACTGTCAAACTCGTGGCCCGTGGGCCAGATGTTTCATGCACTGGCTATGCCCAGGCCCAGTTTAGCAAAGTGGGAAAAAGTCCTGATACATCATGTGATGCTGCCATGATGATGTAAATTTGACAGCTCTGCCCTAGCCCATAGGAACTGTGAAAATCAAGATTGCTGCAATGATTTTCATATTGTTTTTGAGAAAACATAGACACATGTCTCTTTGAGAAAGTATGTTATGGCCAATTGTCCTCCCTAAAAAAAGGTTGCCTATCATTTCCAATTTTTGAGATGAGGTACAACTGTGGAACAATGGCCCATATTTAAAACAGACTCTCCCTGCAGTCTTATGCATGTGCTTTGGAAGAATTATACTGCATATCCATACCAAAAAAGGCCTTAGAAGATGTCCTGGGACCCTTCATTAGAAGGATTTTCTAATGGATTTTGTAGGATTTTCACAATAAACAAGTTAGTGTCCCATTGGAGATAATTGGAAGATTGAAATAACCTGTTCTTGAAAGTAGAACTGGCAGGTTTTTTTGCTTTCTCTATCAACATGGTCCAATTCATGGAAATTAAAACAAAGAAGGAACAGAATTAGGAACTGTTCTCCTTCAACCACTGTGAAACACCTATCTCCCATTCTTCCTTTGTACTTTTTCTTTGCTCTGACTGTGAAATAATTCACTGTTCTCCATAATTCTTGCCATTCCTTCTTCCTATACTAAAATGTACTAAAATGATTACAAAGAAACCAGCTATGCATTTTTCCACATATATAAGTGCCAAATATATCATGAGCTTGCTGTCTGATATTCATCTACATGTAAATGGACATTGGATCCCCCCCTTCTTTCCTCTCCTCCTCCCCCCCAATTCTGATGGTATGGTCAATGGAAGGGACCTGGAGCATACCTTCTGTGTTAGTTCTGGTGGGTTAAGCAGAAGCAATGGGAGAAGTCTGCATTAACATTGCATAACCTTAATTAAGCTTTTTGGTGGCATGGCATCTTGCATAATCCTAGACTGCTTGATTAGAATATAGTACAGTATATTGTGGAAACTCAGAAAATAAGTTAGTTCAGTAATACAATTAAGTCTGGTATGTAAATGTATCTTGTCAGTTTATCTGGTTAGATGAAATATTCCACTAGCATTTTATATTGCTATGGTAGAGACATGGGGTCAGGTGTCAATAGGTTTTATGGCTCCCTTTACTTTCTGTTGTAGCATGAATTTCCCTTGCATTTTTCAAGTAGCCTTGATTTTGGTTAAGAATTAGAGCTGGCTATCATTTGAGTGTATAAAATTAACAAATCTATGTTTTCTGCTTGATTAAAATTTGAAATGTGGCCTTACCCCTGATTTGCACATTGTTTTTATGAGTTGAGATAGTTAACATTTATTACAATATATATCTGAAATGAGGAACTAAAGTTAGTTTATGTGGGAATTCGGTTAACCTTAAATTTATAGTATATTAGTGATTTAACTGTTGGCTGTAATTATGGTTGTCAGTGAAGCATAGGTTTAGCTCAGGAGCTGGTGTTTGTCTGAAGAGAACCAGGCCAAATACATATGGTATAGCAGACGGTTGCTGTCCTGAATGGCTCCCTGGCCAGTAAAGAAAACATAAAGCTGGCAGGAGATGACACATGAATCTGAAACTCAAAAGGAGTAACAGAACATGTGTGTGTAATTTAGATTTCCTGTATGGTTTCATTACATTTGATGAAAAGAAATCTGTTTTCTCCCCATTGAACAGCATTTCTCTTTCTTTCTCCAGCACACAGACGAGACTTAAAAGCATGTCCTTTGTATCTGTGTGTTTTCCAGAGATGGGTTTGTTATCATTAAGATTAAAACAGAAAAGTTCCATTTTTTTTTTCATTTGGGATGAAATGAAATGCATTTGTGTGTGGGTGCTTCCTTCTCCTAAGCATCCTTAGCAGTGCATGGTCTTTGCTATAGTGGTGAATGTCTGTAGCTCAGGTATAGGATGAAGGTAAAAGGTTCATTCTGTCACTTGACACACCCACACCTAAGCCCCATGTAAACAGAATACTCACACTGACATCCCCTAATATTATCTAGCCTGGTAATGAAACATTTGGAAACCAACCCACAAGCTCTGAGAATGAACCTTTACCCTCAGTACGTAGTCTGCTAGTATTAAAAAAAATATGGATGATGAGACATTATATTAATTCTGTGTCTGTTGGTTAGCATTTCCTTTGCAACTGAGTTCATGGAATTGACATGCCATGGCACCCTTTTTAGTGGAGTAGGAAATCATTTTGGGCTTATGTAATAGGATTTAATTAGAAAAAAATGGAATATAGACACTAGAATAGTGTGACTAATGCTGTGAAATGTGCAACTACATTGTTTTAAGAACCATTTTCATGTAAAAATAACAATACAATGCATCCTAGTCCATGCTTATTAACTGACTTCCAACTTCCTTACTAGGCTGAAGTATGCTCTGGAACAGTAGCAGAAGTAATCCAGTCTGTCGTGAATGGTGCAGATGGTTGCATCTTTTGCTTTGGCCATGTCAAGCTTGGTGAGCTCCCAAATTCATTACAGTTAATTACTATGTCAACCTGGTAATTACATGCTGTCAGCTCTTGGAACAATAAACTTGGACTACATGAATAGATTACAATTTCTTTTTAATTAGTTATGCAAACTTCTTCTGCTTTATTTCTACACTGGGACTTTAAGTTCTGTGCATTCTTTCTTGTTTTCCTTTTTTTAAAAAAATTGGTTAAAGGTTAAAAGTTGGTTTTGGCATCTATCAGGTTCTTTGGAGGCAGTTTTATTTTCAGGGAAAAGTGTGACATAATTCAAACAGAGCAAAGAGCTTGCAGAAATTAATTGGTTACAAAGTGACAAAGAATGGAAAAATTAATTAAGTACCGGTGAATTAATAATGAAATATTTAAAAGCTACTGTATTTGTTCTCTCCCCTTGTCAATTAAGGTGTGTACCATTGGTTATAATCTGAAGGCTTGTGTGAAGAAGGTATTTTGTTTCTATAAACCAGATGTTATCTACTTAAAGTCCATTTTTACTCCTCAGTTAGAAAATCACCATCGATTGCTGGAATTGTCATATATGAAAAATTCAACTTCAGAATTGAATAAATATTTGCAAACATCTTAAGATGAAATCCTAGCTTTCTTGGATAACTGTAAAAAGTGAACCAAGATAGGGGACAAGTTGTAAAATATTACTCTGGCAATGTGGGGAGGAATATCTATCTTGAGGCTCCAATACAAATTCAAAGCGTTTGAGTGGCGGAAATCAAATGCCATTTAAGTGCTGTGCTGCATTAATAGAAGTATAATTCTAGGATCAATAATCCATTGGTCTTATTTATGTTACATTGGTCAAACACCTGAATATTGTGCAGTTGTGGATAACATATTGTAGGAAAGACCTTGACAAACTGGTGTCCAGAGGAGAACAACCAATAGGAAGAGCTGAAGAAAAATTTACCAGTAGTTATTGGAGAATTTGAATATATTTAGCCTGCAGAAGAGAAGACTAATTGGAGGGGCTTTACTAATGGATTCCTTGCACAGGGGCTTGGATTAGAAGATCTCCAGTTGTTTTCCAGTCCTTGCATTCTGTGATTCTATGAGATCTACTCCTAATTATTCTCACTGATTAGGTCCCAAATGAGGGCTAGAGAGCCTTGGATTCACCACAAGACCCCAGAAATAGATGCGTCATCAGCCTAAGATGACAAGTATTACCAGTAACTAGGACTGTGATGGCGAACCTATGGCACACGTGCCACAGGTGGCATGCAGAGCCCTCTCTGCGGGCACGTGAACTGTCACCTCAGCTCTGCTACGCATGTGCACACGCCTCTTACCGGCCATCTGGTTTTCGGGTCTCTGCCACGCATGTGCAATTTCAGCACTCCTTGCCAAAAAGGTTAGCCATCACTTAAAAAATGCAATGCCCCTTCCCCACAAGATTTGTGAGTGAAGAATTAATTTGCTTTTCCTTGAAATATCAGGAATTGTGAGTGATTCTTCAGTGGAATATTTAGGAGGAGGGTGGCTGCATTAAGGACAGTAGCCATTTGACTGCCTGAACAGATGAGGCAGCCTTCCCCCCCCCCTCCATTTCTTTTTGTAGTCTGAAGAAAGACAAGAGCCATTCTCTGCATTGGGAGGATTCACAGTAGATGTGGGTGTGGCTAGTGGCTTCATTCCTTTCACATTCATGTCCCATTGTTTCTTCCTTTCTCCTCCTTTTACCAGAAAGTCAGCTCTTCCAGAAGTTCATCTACTTATTAATTACTCATAAATCAATCCAGGTGAATCCTTTCAAAACATAAAGAGCAAAACAGATTCTTGCCAAAATGAGAGAACAGGAGAATCCTCCTTCTACTGAATAAGAAAACTCTGATAATCCCACACTTCCTGACACTGCAACTGAAGTCACTGTGCTTAGCAGTCCAATTACATTTCCATTTCCTTTCCATTTTAGGCAAATCCTACACAATGTTTGGAGAAGATAACTCCACCCAAAGCCTTGGCATCGTACCTTGTGCTATCTCATGGCTCTTCAAGTTAATCAATGAGCGCAAAGAGAAGACTGGGACTCGTTTCTCAATTCGAGTATCTGCTGTGGAGATCAGCGGCAAAGATGAAAACCTTAAGGATTTGTTAGCTGAAGTAGCCACTGGCAGTCTTCAAGATGGACAATCCCCAGGGGTCTACCTACGAGAAGATCCAATATGTGGAACACAGGTATAAGATCTCAGGACAGGAGGGAAGCCTGGCTTATTCTTTTTTCTTGACGTTTGGGTTTTTTCATCTTGAAATGCTTTCATCTGTCAACAATTACAATATATATACACTGTATATATATAATCTCCAGTCCCACAGTGTACATATTAGTTTATTTTAGCACCCTTGTGGCTTCTTCCTCTGGTTCAGGAAGCAGGGATCATTCACTCCTTCTTAATTAGTTGTTTTCTTGTTTATATTCCAGCTTCAGAATCAAAGTGAATTGAGGGCCCCAACAGCAGAGAAAGCAGCTTTTTTCCTCGATGCAGCGCTGGCTGCCAGGAGTACTAGCAAACCAGAATGTGATGAAGAAGATCGGAGGAATTCACACATGTTTTTCACATTTCATATATATCAGTATCGCATGGAGAAGAGTGGCAAAGGAGGAAGTATGTAGATTTGGCTCAAAATCTCTTTCTTCTTGCATTGATTTTTGAAAAGAAGTGCAATTGATTTTTAACAACATTGAAGCTGATTGTATTAGCCAAGAAAGCTTTAAAATGGATTGCTTTTTGGAATATCTAATTTGAAAACCTAGCATGCAGTACTTTACCTTTTGCTCCAAGCAATCAGGTCAAGGTTCCCTCTCCCAAACCCGTTTTAAAAAAATTCTTGTGATAGTTTGGTATAATAAATGGTCTTATAAAATAAATAGCATAAGTTTACTTAAGAAGCTTCATGTCTGAGTAGGCAGTTGAATTCAGGATCTTTTTGGTTCTATTGTTACCCTTTTAATCATCGTGGTCAGTGGACAACTAGATAGAAAGCTATGTGAATTATAATACACATACCTTTGTGTGTGTTAAAAAGTTCAGTTGCTAATGCGTTGGGATTTTAAATGTAAATAGAAATGTGTGCTTCTTACACAAGTGGAGAGATATTTCTGTAAGAGATGATTGCTAGATGTTGATAGCTGTAGGTAGACAGATACAGGTAGCCCTTGATTTATAACTTCAATTNAAAAAAGAGGTTAGCAAAAATATCAGCATTTGATTCAGGAAAAACATTTTTTTTATTGACAAGTCCATGTTTAGTGTACCATCAGCCTCTCTGATTATTTCCCCTTTCCATTAATCCATTAGTAAAATGTAATTGTTACCTCTGCAACCAGGCCCACTATGGATAAAAATCCCATCTCAAATTTATGCTGAAATTCAATCAGTTTTTTGGAAAAGGATATATATATATATATCTCCTTGGACCATGGAAAGGGCATAAAATTATTCCAAACAGTAGCTAAGATCTTGACTGAACTGTGCAACAGATTCAGGAACCCCAAGTTCCTTTGGAATCCCACTAAGTCAATTAGATCCCTCCTCTTGGAATCTCCTTTCTTAGAAATCCTTAATGCATAATGCTTGTTTAAGATTATTACATTATTATTTCTAGAAACTTGTTTGGATATTAAACACCTTCTGTTTGTTTGTTTTTTATGCTACTAGTTGAGGTTGATCCTGATCTCGATAAGGAATCTCAAGATTATCTGGAGGCATTAGAACAAGTGACGAGTGAACTAGAGCAATGTGTAAATCTGTGCAAGTCGCGTGTCATGATAGTCACCTGCTTTGATATTGGAGTGATTAATGACATCCAGGATGGAGCACAAGAAGTGGAAGTTTGAAAACATTTGTGAAGGGATTTAAGGCAGTGGAACCAAACTTTCAAAGGAAGGAAGAAAAATAGGTGTATTGGAAAGTGATGGTGGACGTGTGAGAATTTATTGCGACAAGGAATGTTGTGGAAACCAGAAACTGTCAAGGAATTGGAATGTTCTAAACCTTTATGGTGCCTCAACAATCTATGAATTGTACAAAGCTTACCATAATTTCTAAAAGAGAAAAGCAGAAAAAATATATGCCGAGAACTGTTTGAAAAGCGAAGTGCCTTTACCATTCATTTGTGACTTGTTTTCTTAATTTTCTATTTGTTGTTAGAACTGAAACCAGCAAATCAAAACAAATCATAAAATGTATTCCTATGAAATATTTTCTACTGTATAGTGTAATTTATGACTATATGTAAAAACAAAACAAAAATTGTAGCAAAAGCAATAATTATGTTTTCATACCTGAATTTGCCTCCTTGCTTCACGGAAAAGCTGGTTTATGTAGCAGAACAACAAAAAATTATATTGTAATTGCTTTTTCATGGTTTAGGATTTGATATATTTTTATGAACATTATCTATTGGAAAGGTATATAATGACATTTTGGAACACTTGCTTTGTATTCAGTTTTGATACTCTTTTTCAGAACATGACGAACATGCTTTTTCCATGTTTTTCTATACAAATATTAGGGCTGAAATGTTTGATAGACTGATCTGTTACATTTGTCAATGAAAACACCATACGTTTGATTAAAAAGGTGCCTCCTGATTAACTGAGCAGCAGATTTTAAAACCTTTGTTTAAACTTATTTTTAATACAAGGAAAAGCTGAGGACAGCATGTGGCATACTGTAGCATTCCCTGTTCTCTCTGCTACTTACATAGATATGTCTGTTCCAGGTGGTGCTTATTGCAAAATACCTGTACATGTGTTTTTTAAAAAAAACAAAAGTTACATTACTTTTTCCTCTTCAGACCTTTTGTTTTTATTTATGTGCATTTAAATGTATTTACCATTTAATTGATTAGTAAAAAGCCAAACTCAAATAATTGATTGGCCGAAATTTCTTTTATCAGACAGCAGTTCTAATAAATAGGTTAACCAGTTAGGTAATTTCATGGGCAACATTCCTAAATTACGAAGTCCCAGAATGGCCTGTGATTATTTGTTGGCAGGTCTGCCATAAGAGATAGGCAGTGAAAGCCTTGGTAACAAAGGTCAACCTGTACGTTATTGCACAGACATGATTGCATAAAAGATCCAGTGGCTTCTACTTCTAGTCAAATCCAATTTGGGAGAGAAATCTTTTTCAACGGTGACACTTTACTCCATTATTGTAGAGCTCCTAGAAAGAGTGTTTGAGGTAGCAATTTACCAGGTAGGATATGGGTCAAGCACCATACCATGGTTTTGCTTTTGAAAATGGCCTCCAATCTCTTTGACTAGATGAAAAGAGCTATGAGAGCTTTTATACACATGTACAGTATGTGTATTATGTAGTTTTGCCCTAACTCTGATAATTAACTGCATTCATAACTAACCCCCTTTCCTAGAATTCCTTAACCAGGGGTTGGCATCATGGAATTTCTTACCCCAATATATCCATCTTGGTTTTTTTACCATTGGAAAAGCTCCTCCCACCATAATTACTGTCCCACTGAACATGCCTGGGGTGCCTGGTCATTGTTCAATCTTGGACCAATGGCATGTTGAATTGGGGAGGGATGGTGGGGTATCGAGTTGCCAGCCCCTGCCTTAATCTAGCTTGATGAAGTCTGTTAACTACACTGTGGCTTTTCTCTCTTCTGAGTGCAGGAAAAAAAGAGTTGGTTCCAGACTTCGTCACAGGAGCAGACCCACTGAAATAAATTCATTTCCTTTCAGTGGGTCTACTTATTCTATGACCAGACTGGATCTAGTCCTCTGTTTACAGCCAAAATCGCACAGAAGTGGGGTCAAATGTTTTCTTGGGGGAGGGGGGTAATTATTAAGTTAGGTCCATATTTTTGTATAGTTTTAACAATAAATATAGCATTTGCATTTTATGAACTTTGAAAGACAAAATATATCTTTTTACAGTTTTTCTAAGGAAGGCAAACTCTCAGGATTGTTTCTAGACATGCTGCATGAATTTTGTGCTCTTTCTCCCTTTCTTTCTATTCTTTTTAAATAAAGCCACTTTCCAGTGGAGACTGTTGATAAACTGTTGCCAAACAAAATAACTTTTGGAAAAGTTTGATAGTGTATGTAATGACTACATTTCATAAGGAACCATATTTTCTATCATCTTACTATGTACGGGGTTGTGTTTCCCCTCCAGATCCTTTGTATAAATGTATACAACAATGGCTTGCTTCAGCTTTTCCATGTGAATAAAAAGATTTGTCTATTGCTACCTGTTTTTTTTAATTTTAATGAGTACTCTTGTCTTCTCTAGCAGTAGGGAATGGGATACTTTTACTTGCTATCCTTAAATGAACCAGGGCAAAACACCAGGGTAGAAAGTGGAAGTTCTAGTGCCCCCTTAGCTATGAAAGCCAGCTGGGTGACCTTGGATCAGTCATTCTCTTTCAGCCCAATTCANTTGTGTTGATTCACTTAACAGCAGCCAGAAATGATATCATAAGTTGAGCACAATCATATGATATTTCACTTTATGACTGCATTGCTTCGCACTCCACTTGTGATTGATAAATGGGGATTGCCTGTAGTCTGAACTTATTCGTAGTCTCTCATTGCTGGAATGAATTGCACATCGGCTTCAGATATTCCTGATCATATGACAATACAGTCATATTGTGAAATGTGGACTGAAACCAAGATATTGTACTCATTAAAGCAATCATACTATATGAAAACTATCATCCAATGCAAAATATTGCATACTTGGCCATTCAATCAGTTTTCCTTCATAGTGATTGTGCCATTTAATTGCCACATCATTCTTTTATTATTTTTTTTGCCTTTTGAAAATTGGAAGTTACCACTAAAATGTATCATAAGTGCCTTTTGTTGGAATGATTCCAATAGATATCAAAAACTATTCTGTAGGACATGAAAAAGTGACTCATAATTTGTCCTCTTGTGAATACATTTAATATTAAAAATCCTTCTCTCCTATTTATGTTTTTACAATCAGCAGTATGCATCCAGCTCATCTGGAGGAGAAAGTTCTTGTGAAGAAGGCCATGTACGACGACCTCCTCATCTGAGACCATTTCATCCAAGGACTATAGCTCTCGATCCTGACATTCCTGTATTGAATCTTTCTAGTGAACATGATTATTCCTCAAGCAGTGAGCAGTCCTGTGACACTGTTATCTATGTAGGTTCCAATGGTACTGCTTTGTCAGACAGAGAGCTGACAGATAATGAAGGCCCTCCAGAATTTGTCCCCATAATCCCTTCTTTGAACAAAAAAAGAAGCAAGGACAATTGTGGTCTTCCAAAAAGCTCTGACAAAGATCACTTTAAGTGCAACACCTTTGCAGAATTGCAGGAAAGATTGGAGTGTATTGATGGAAGTGAGGAACCTGTCAAGTTTCCTGTTGGAGAGATTGCTGCTTTAGCTTCCAATAGCACAGTACCCATGCCTACAGAAAATGGGCAATCTAAATCCAAACCATCTTCTCCTATTGGAGGCTTTAAAAAACCATTTTCACAAGAAACAGGAACTCCAAAAAAGGGGCAAAGCATTTATTTCCAGCACAACATCACTTGCCCTGAAAAGAAGGCATCTCCTTTAAACACAGAACATGCCAAATTGCAATCAAAACCTGAAAGCAAGAGAGTAGATTTCAGTGGGAATAACGAAGTAGTGGTTGATTCCTGTCAAGTATCAACAAGTCATTGTGCTAAGACTCATGAATCAAGTCAAGCTGATGCTGAAATGGTTGTGAAAGAAAAAACTTCTTATATGAAGAGACCGTTGCCCAGCCCTGCTCCTCCACCACCTCAGCAGCAGGGATGTCTAGTGACAAGCAAACAAGCATATCTAAAGGTGGATCACAACAATTCCATCAGGACCCCACCTGTAGGAATGAGTAAACAAGGTGCTAGTGAAACTGAACATAACACCATAGCTAATGACCCAGAACAGCAGGCAGATGGTATTGAAGTTCATAGATTTCGATCATCTTTCCGAGGCCCGTGCTTTGACAGGGATATACTGACAACAACAGTGACTTTGCAGAAGCCTGTGGAACTCAATGGTGAAGATGAGCTTGTCTTTACAGTGGTTGAGGAGTTATCTATCAGTGGTATTATGGACAATGGAAGACCCTCTAGCATCATCAGCTTTAACAGTGACTGTTCTCTTCAGGCTCTTGCCTCTGGTTCTAGGCCAGTTAGTATCATCAGCAGTATAAATGATGAGTTTGATGCTTATACCTCTCAGGCAAGTACAACAGGTGTCAACATTGATATTGTTGTACCATTTTCTGAAGAACCCTTCACTAGTAGCAGCAGACGTTCCTCGATCAGCTCATGGCTAAGTGAAGTCAGTATCTGTACAATTGGAAGTGAAGGAGCCCATCCCAGTGATGGTTTTCTTATGCAACCCTTGTATGGCTATCACAAGTCTGAGGAACCTTTAACTTTGGGTTCTCCTAATATCTCTGCTCCCTTGAAAACTACCTTGAATGATAGCGGCTTTTGCTTTTCAGAATTGGAGAGTGAGAGCATGAATTCAAGCAAAACAGCCTCAGGAGTCAATAGAAGCCTTCAAAACTATGACTTAACCAAAGTGTGTCAGATTGGAAGTACTCTTTGCATCACTGATCAGGCCACAAAAGTTAAGCTTTCTAATTCTCAAAACACTCCAGTGATTGAAACTATACACTCCAGTCTTCCCCGAAGAACAAAAGCTACCTCATCTCTGACTCATAATAATACTCTATGTGATAAAGAACTGCAAAAGCCACATGTGATGTTTGACGATCCCTGGTTGGTTCGCACAGACAATCGTCTGGAAACTAATACCACAGATATGTTACCTTCAAATTCTCAGGCATTTTGCACACAGAAGCAGCCACCAAGATCTACCCAACAATTTGGTAGCACAACTAAAGCTTTAAAATCCCAGACATTACTTGCCTGTTCACAAAGGGTGGTAGACGGTTGTGAAATGAGCTGCAAGTCTTCTAGTGGAGTTGCTAAAAAATCTGAAGCTTTCCCTAAAATTCCACAGCTTAAAAGAGGAGCCACCACACTAGGAGTAGTTCCTGTGTCACACAGCAGTGGTGCTTTTACAGAAGGTATGCACAGAGGGAATTCTGAAGCTGCTTTTGCCATTGGGAGCCTGAAAAAGAAGAATGCACAGCAAAAGATGAGTATGTTACCCAGGTCAAATGGCATAATACCTCCAGCACCTCCCGTTCGTAAATCCAGCCTTGAGCAAAAAAATGGAGGGGCCAAAGCTGTAGGATTAGAAGCTAGTAGGGCTGCTGCAGTCAAACATGATGATGAGATTGATTCACGACTGAGAACTGGGTTATGTACTGCTGAAAATGCCAGTAGCAAATATAGCGTCCGAGGAGACCATTCCTTGCCAAAAGCAACTTCAAGTTTAAAGGCCAAGGCATCAAAAAGTGAAGGTGTCCATCGTTATGGGAGCCACACATCCCTTGAGAGATGTGACAGCTTGCTATCTGTGGGAGGAAAAACTAATCTGAATAAGGAAAATGGTGGTGGCAGCCTTAGCAATGGCAGGAATGGCCGGCTAGTCCCCAGACTGGGAGTTCCTCCTGATACTTCTGGCCTGACCTCTCCTCCATCGTGCTCCATGTCTGTATCTTGCAAAAATAGTCAAATGAAAAGTGCTACCAGTCAGAAAACTGCGATTGGTGGGAATAAGAGCCGTAGCCTTTCAGCGAGTGGATCCAAGTCTCTGAGCTCCTCTGTGAAGTCTTTGGCTCAGTCTGCTGGGAAGAACTCTAGCATTCCTTTGAGTGGGAAAACAGCTCCAAAGTCCACGCAAGGCACGAATAATAAACCTGGCCGAGGAACAATTATGGGAACTAAGCAGGCCATTAGGGCAGCCAATAGTCGTGTGAATGAGCTAGCCTCAGGAAGCTCAGGCAAGATGAGCCATTTCCGGGGTTCGACAGACTCCGATAGTGGCAATGACAGTGGAATAAATCTAAGTGATGAGAAGTCACAGGTCCAGATGCTGCCATCTCCATACAGTAAGATAACTGCGCCGAGGAGACCTCAGCGCTACAGCAGTGGGCACGGGAGTGATAACAGTAGTGTCTTAAGTGGGGAACTACCACCTGCAATGGGTAGGACAGCTCTTTTTTACCACAGTGGTGGCAGCAGTGGCTATGAAAGCATGATCCGTGACAGCGAAGCCACTGGCAGTGCTTCTTCAGCGCATGATTCCATGAGCGAAAGTGGGATGTCATCACCAAGTCGCATGAGAAGTTTGAAATCCCCAAAGAAAAGATCAGCAGGTAAAAATACAATAACTACAAAAACCTGGTCTTAGAATTTCTGTTGATTTGTGTCTGCAGCAGGTCTATCACAACCTTAAACCATGAATACCACAATCTTAAATTAGTGAATAAGGTAGTTGAGAAAATGCCATCATAGTCGTCCTTGAAACTGAAGGCATGTTCAGACCTGACAGATTTTTAATTTGTAAGTAGCACCTGAGCTTTAGCCTAAGAGGCAAATGATCAATCTGCATGGCTTAATGAAAGAGGCAGATCCTCAATACTACATTTTTGATTAATAAATTCTGTCACTGAACTCCCTAAATACATGTTAACTAGTAATGGCTATTTGGAACCAGTTGTTTTATTATGGGACAGGTGTGACTGCTGCTCCATGGGGATGCTAGCAGATTTTACTCTGTTTCATACAAATTACATGGGAGAGGTTGAAGTTTTCAAGGGCAGCTTATGTTTCCCTGAAGAAAAGGTAAAAAAGAATCCAATTTCTCAACCTTCCCATGTTATTCTTTATTCTAGTACTTTTGGGGAAGTATCCATGAAAAAGACCAGGCAGTTACTTTAAAATAGATACTGTCTAATGTTATAATAGCTCCCATCTTATCCATAAATATTATATTATCTGATGTTAGATTCATCTGAATAGCTGCAAATGGACAGGGCATGAAGCAAGATGGACAGATGTGTATATATGTGTATATGTATCTGTTTATACACACAGAGACACAATGCTTGGTGAAGAGTATGAATAAGGGCATATTGATGTATGATAATAAAAAGGATTGTGAATGGATGTGTTGAATATGGCATGGATGGCTTTGTCTAGTCTATATTTAGCTCAGTTAAGCCAACTGCCATTACCATAACGCATAGAAGACAACACAACCCACAGAATACAAAAAGAGTCTCAACCAGGTTTTGAAAAGATATGTTTATTTGAAGGTGTTATTGTATAATTCTAGCAAATACCCATACAAAAGTCTGATTGGCAGGTTCCCAAATGAAAATTATGAGCACATAAAGGAATTTGGAAAAAGTGTGCTAAAATGTCTGATTAATGGAACTAATAATCTATAAAGCTAAGAATCAACTGAAATTAGAAATAGATTGGAGATTCACCAGCATAATAATTCCAGAAAAAACGCCTTTTCACTGAAGAGCTTATTATCATGCTCTTCAACTTTTTAAACATTGATTTCTCTTAAGTTTGAGAAAAGAAAGCGGTAGGAGGAAGGAAGAGAAGAATCAACTGACAATTCTAGCTACTGGGAATAATATAGTTTAGTTTCCTAAACTTTAGGAAAAAGAGGAGACTAGAGTAGCTGGTCACTCCATAGTGCCTATACAGTAGCTCAGCTTCCCTTCTTAGGCAAGATCTAAGAAAGAGCAGAGTTCCCAGAGGTTTTGTTCTCTTCAGCAGCTAGACTTTTCTTGAGTATCTAGACCAGGGGTGTCNAATTGCTATGTTGGCAGAAGCTGGGACAAGGATTTGAATCGCTGAACTGCTGACCTTTCTGATCAACAAGCTCAGCGTCTTAGCCACTGAGTCACCATGTCCCTAAAACAAAAGGATAGAGCCATTTTAATAATAGAATGCATTCATGTGCTTTAAAATGCCAAGGTTGAGGCATTTTGAATTCAAGGAAAGATGCATTGATCAACTAAAGTTTAGAATAACAACAACAGCTGCAGCATGAAATGTGTATAAATTTTCAGTACTTTTCTGTAGAGTTAGCACAAAGCTCAATCTATAATTATAAATCCTAATTATTTGTCCTTTCGTATTCATACACTTATTTGAAGAAATAACAATTACTCAGAAGGTAAACAGCCTCAATTACAAAATCATTAAGCACCGAGCTATCAGTTAAAAGGGATCAATTCTTGTTGCAAAAAAGACCACAATTGAGACAAGTAGATCAATTGGCTGATCTCTCTTAAGCAGATGGGGGAAAGTGCAATGCAATCCCAGAATTTCATGGGATGGAAGCAGGATTCTGTCACTGGTTAGTAGAAATAAAATCTTGTTCAAGAGCTTGCAAAGGGCAACCTAGAAATGGTATGTTCAATTTATATTGTAGCAATATCTTTAGCTGCAGATGAAGGTCTATGGTGAGTGGATTGGAAAGCATTTATTAATTAATCACATTTATATAGCCTCTCATCTCACTGAAGACAACTTTGGGTGGCGCACAACAGTATAATTTTTCCATCTATTTCCTTGCTTTTTAAAAGATTTTTTCAGGCACAAGTCACCCGCACCCAGACTGGGGCTATGCAGTTGTCTTTAAAACCTTAACATCTACCAAATAAATTGATGCCAATGATTGAAAAATGTGGTTACAAAGTATATATGTGAATGATTTTAAAAAATGATTTTAAAAACAGTTGGGGAAAGTGTAGGCTCACCACATTCACTTCTTCCTGCACACGGGTTCAGAGCAGTCAAAGAAATTAAACATAGAAGCTGGGCAGGAAATTGGAATTCTACATACAATCTCTTTGGCCTTTAAGTCACAATGAAGTTTCAGACAGGAAATCGAGGAAGGGAAATAATTTCCATCAGACTGCATGAGCTGACTGCAGATGGATCACCACCTTGGTAGCTTTTGCTCAACTAGGTGTCCTCTGTATGGGTGGGTTTCATCTCATCTACTTTGCTTAGAATGCTGGGAGATGGATTCCACAATTCTGGATTAAAATCAGATTGGGGAAGCCCCTATTGGTNGATCTAAACACCCCATGGGCTGGATCCAGCCTCCGGGCCTTGCATTTGACACCCCTGATCTAGACCTTTAAAATTTTTCCCAACTTACTGAAGTCTCAGGCTTATTAACTCTGCATAGAATTCTCCATCAAGATGGCATGGAATGTCCATTTGCCAATGTGACATCTCTTTACCCTAAAGGATGCTGTATTAATCCTGGGAGAAATAAACAAAACTTAGATTATCAAATGAAAAGTCCTGTGAATATTGTTAAACTACTGTCACAAATGTCAGAGGGAAAACACCACTTTTTAAAATATAAGTCTGAAATCTACCATCCCTGGTAGGAGAACCTTAAAATTCATTGCCGTGACAATGAATAGGGATACAGTCCCAATTTAAAAGCCATAGATGATATTTGGGTACCATTTCCTCACAGGTCTAGGATCTATATATACAAATATATAGAGCTGTGGTAACCAGTTTATTTTACTGTGTGACCTATTGTTTTAAAGACCCAATTTCAGCCTTTTCAGCTGTTCTCTTTTCACAGCACATCAGCTTCCTAAGTCTCTCCTGCAAATCAATATTAACAGCTGTGTAAAGTTGCCCACATATTGAAAGAGTATTATGGCTGATGGATTTGTATTTGGTTTTGCCCCAGGAAATGCTTTATAAGGCATTTCTTTTTAAAATGACACACAGTTCTTTTCTCAATTTGAATAGTCCTCTGCTGATAAATGACAGTTTACCTTTTGGAGTGTTTAGTTGCTTTGCTCCTAATTTAGTCAAATGTTCTAGATTTGGGGAGAAAGAAAATGAATGGTATATTCCTATTGAAAAGTATGTCTGAATTCAGTTGGGCTTAATTCCAAGTAAATCAGTACAATTGTATATGCTAATGAACATTTTTTTTGAAGCTAGCATAGCCTTAGGGTATGGATAAATGATCATAAAGCAAAAAATCATGACTGCACTGATTTATGACAGCAGTGCTGGTTGCAATTGTTCCGTGATTTTTGCACAGTTGTTAAGCGCATTGTCATGTGACTGCATCTTGTGACTTCCTGCTGACTTCTCCATTGCTTTGCTTAACATAAGCCAGCAGTGCAGGTTGCAAATGGTGATCATGTGACCATAGGACATTGTGACTGTCATAATTTGATGCTGGGTGCCAATTGCCTGAATTGTGATCATGTGACCATGGGGATATGGAATGGTTGCAGTTTCGAAGATGATTGTAGATCTCCTTGTTCAAAACTTTGAATGATCACTGAATGAGTGATCACTAAAGAGGGCTATCTCTACCAAATGAAATAAAAATATAACATTGTAAAGACTCAAATTATGACAGTCACAATGTCCTATGGTCACATGATCACAATTAAGGCATTTGGCACCCAGCATCAAATTATGACTGTCACAATGTCCTATGGTCACATGATCACCATTTGCAACACATGATCAC